CGCGTACTCCGCTTAGTGTTTCTAAGCGGATGCGACGAAACTTTATTACAGGGCATGTGTAGAGGGTTTAGGGTTTAGGGATCGCGACTAGTAACCCTAAACCCTAAACCCGCTTCCTCAGGGGCAGGAGATCGCCTGCCGGTTCACCAGCAACAATAACTAGCCATCTCCATCAGTCACATTAGGCTCGTAGCCCAGTTGAGGGACATTCCCAACTTTGTTTGCGAGTTTCCAGTGACACAGCGGCGGAGGTGACCAAGTCAAGGTATTCGGGTCAGGAGCCCGAAAGCCGCAGACCCGATAAACTTTGAGCCCTAAAGCTTAAAGCCTAAACCTTCAAGCACTGTCCCACGCCCTCCCTGCCAACCTTTAACCCTGAACTGCAAGCCCAAAAAGGCCATAAGCAGTACACCCTAGACTGTAAACTCTCAACCGTGGAGGCCGCGGCGTGCCCGGCCCACCAGCATTCGCTGAGATCGCGGAAAGAACTCGGCATCGCATTCTGGGGTCTTATAGCGCAATCAACTACAAACATTTTAAATCGTGTAGTTTACATTTCCACTTCTCATGATTTGTGTAATCATGCACGTGTCTGTTTCTGTTGCCTATCTGCTCTTTCGCATTCATACTTACACTCATATGTGCAGCGGCGCCTGTTACACACATGCTAGCATACCTACATATAAACAGAATATACGTATACATATATATATATATATATATCCATGTCTTGACGCCGTAGGTTGAGAGTCCTTAGTTTCGGGTGTTGAGCTTGCTCGTTTGTATGGTTGTGGGAACCTTGATCTGCAACAGAGCCTACATAAGAGGTGTTTCCTTGAAGCATACAGGGTGTTGATAGGGTTCCTGGGGCTTTCCATAGCATTGTACAAATACTTTCTGTATGGTTTTTATTGGAGAAGGGGAAAGACTGGACTGGTCGACCTCGGTGCGTGTGTTGTGGTTGTATGACTGTCACTGTCCTGAGTTGTCTTTTGTATTGTTAGAGGGGGAAAGGTTCCGGGAGTGGGGTCCGGGGTTTTATGTCAAAGTTGAGTTTCCTTTGTGCTTAGATAGCTTGCTTTCGTTTGGGAGACGGGCTGGTGTGGGATGTTGGTCGTTGTCAAGGTCGGGCGAAGGTGGGTTCTAGTGTTTCGAACGTCCTTCATTAAGGGTCAGGCTGCTCTGAAACAACCTAAATCCTAAACCCCACCACCTTCTCGACCGATAGTTGAGGGTCTGAGATGTCTTGACGGGTATCACCCTAAACTTATGCGCCAAACCCTAAACCCTAAACTCCCCTGATGTGCAAAACCCTAAACCCTAAACCCTAAACCCAAAACATTTAAAAACAAAACAACTCCCCTGAACCCCGAAGAGAGTGTTGTGGATGGCCAGGTTTGGAGGTCAAACGCTCGAGTATTCACTCTGAAAGCCCTACAACCGAGTCGGAACGGGGTTTTGGGGGTTAGGGTTTAGGGTTTAGGGTTTAGGGTTTAGGGTTCTCGTCCCTGATTTGTGTGGTGCTGCAGGGAAGGAACCAACTTTGAAACAAGATCCGGCCAGGAAGTGGCAACGGTTTAGGGTTTCGAGACTTTTGGGATTGGTGTTTAGGGCTTCACTCCAACAACCGACATAGTCAGGAACCCTAACGGCGGCCCTTATTCGGAGCAGAACCCTAAACCCACGATCTTATCCTGCTGAGTCAGTCCGAGACCTCGAGTACTATCAAGACCAAGCTTAAACTCTCCGAAACCCGAGTGTCGATAGGAATTGCGCAGTTTGCGAGGGTTCCGTTTGTGTGAACCCCCACATATTGGGACCTTACCAGCTAGACGGTTTAGGGTTTAGGATGTAGGGTTTAGGCTTCAGGGAAAAGGCTTCCTTCAAGGATTCCGTAAATTGTTCCTCTGTGTGTTTACTACAATAAGTGATTTATAAGGTCTGTGATATAGAAGCCTCAATAATTGGAATAGGGTTCTGCGGTGTCTTAGTTCGAGCGCAAGTACGTTGCAGCACCTTGAGGACTAGTAGTGGAACCGTAAACCGTGAACCCTAATCCCAAACCCCCCCCTAAGTGGCACCTTGAATCCTGAACCGACTATGTACAGCTAAGCCGAAGCGAGAAACCAGCAGCGCCCTTTGGCTTTTCAGCAGATGTCTGGCATCATAGCCCGTGCTAACCACAAGTCGGGTGCAGGGATATTGTCCATCAAAGGTTGAGCCGAACAGGACAGGTGTAATCAGACAGAGCGGACCATTCCAACCGGCATCCTGCGTTGATTGTCCACCCAACCCGAAACAAGAATCTCGACCTTGCACCCTAAACCAAAAACCCGAAGCCCCAAATCCCGAAACCGTTACCTTCCTACGTGACCCTGATCTGACATGACGAGCTTCAATGCTAAAGAATTTGGTCCGGATTCTTCAAAGAGAATACCTGAAGACAGCACCATGGAAGCTTGGCCTTTAAAGTTCAGGGGGTTGGGCTTCGTGTTCCAATCATCTTCATCTTCGCCCGTGCACCTTCAACTACACAAGCGGAAACCACAGCACTGGACTCCAAACACCACCAGGGTTTAGGGTTTAGGGTTTAGGGTTTAGCGCCCAAACCCTGGGACAAAAAATCCTGCCCGACCCAATCAACTCCCTCACTCACAAGCCCGAAACTCTAATATTATAGAAGAGCAGCCGATCGACTTGACGGCGGGAGGCCGTGGCGACTGGGGTTGGGACTGTGGACTTTCGGGCAACTACAACGAACACGTAAAAGAATCATGTCCAGCAGAAGGAACTGATGTGGATAGAGTGATCCTTGGATTGTAATCACGTGGAGTGACTATAATTTGCTGTGTAGTGTAGGGGTGAGAGACCACAAACTCCAGATATGTCAACCCAAGACCGTGCACCAACGACCCACGTGAAATTGAATGCGAAGCTTAATGTCCTGACTCTTCATTTGGGTTTAGGGTTTAGGGTATTTGGGCGTGGTGTTTGCGTTCACGGCCCTTGTGTTCGTGGCTTGACTCGGAGTTTTGAGGGTACAGGCTCCAGGGTGTCAGTGGTCTTATTCACCTGAATATAGGTGCCTTAATAATTACCTATACTATTTTGGTGGCTCCTTATCATAATTACCGTAGAATATACCCCAAAACCCTATTCTAATTATTAAGGCCCCTACATAATTACCTGCTGCCCACATGCACGGCCTGCCTGCCCCGACGTCTAAACGATACCTTGTCGTTCGGGTCTGAGACTATGGAAGCACCGGTAAAGGCGATTTTAAAGGGACCGTTCCGACAAAGTACGGCAGTAGGGTTCCCTGATAACTCTAATAACAGTCTATTGCTTCTCATGGTTTAGTTAGCCTTCTATAGATGTAGTTTAGTAGGTTTTGCTTCGAATCGGTCGTGAATTCGGCGCCTTGGAGCTGCGTTTCGGGTGTTCAGATCGGAGTTAGCCCAAAGTCCTCCACTCTACATTCGTGTTTCAGGGCCGGGCTTCGATATGGAGTTCAGTTAGGGTTCTGGCAAGCTTGAATTTAGGGTTTAGGGCTGGGACGGACACAATCAGTGCTTCAAGCTCAGAAATCCGACGCGGGGAAACCCTGAATTCCGAAACTTCGAACCCTCAAGCCCGAAAGCGAAACCCGAACTCAAATCGATGGAGCATTCCCATGTGGGCCTAGAACCCTGATAGTAGCTCCTAGCCCTCGCATAAGTGCACCAATCCCAGTACCAGGGAGTCTAAGGGTTTAGGCGGCCACTTTAAGGGTGTAGGGTTGAGGGTTTAGGGTTGCATGGGGCTGCTTTCACTGTTCTGCGAGGGTTTGAGGAGCTAAAGTTTTGGGGTCTGAACTCCCCCCCCAAACTGTCGTTACTCATCATGCTTCGCTTAGCTCCCACTTAACAACTTTTTGTTAACATGTAGATACCCATCTATTTAACCCTAGACCCTAACACCCCCGGTACCTACTATATAGGGTACTAGAGCCCCTAGGGCCCTATATGGTAGCTTCCTGGAGGGTTAGGGTAGATCCTAAGTTCCCAGCAGCTAAATGCAAATCCGGCTGGCTCAAGACAGCTGCCCCGCGGGGCATCTTCAAGGGGGCTGCTATCAAGCTACGTTAGCTATCATGAACGTTCACTCTAGGGATACTATCGGCAAGACAACTGCCGAGACAGTTTTCTAGCTTTTCAGCTTCACCAAGCTATTCTTGCATAAAGGATCAAAGGCTACTTTTCCCAAATGGCTTGGGGTGGGGCAGTGGTCCCTGCCGCTGGACAGCAAGATGCTTCAGGAGTCAACATGTACCTATATATATATATACATATATATATATATATATTTTGTTTATTCATGTATTTATTATTTGTTTATAACATATATATATATATATATATATACGTACTTTGGCCTTCAAGTACCTATATAGGAGCTCCCTTCAGGCCTCAGTATGCAGTACATAGGTACATGGAGCCTTAAACCCAAGAGCTTCACGAGACGATCATGCTTCGCTGCATTTTGGCATACATGTCTCAGCCCAAATGAACCCCAACCCGGCAGGTACCTACTATTTAGGGTACTAGAGCCCCTGGGGCCCTATATCGTAGGTACCTGGGAGGTTAGGGGAAATTTCGAGCACGACCATCCCGCGTCGAACTTAAACATCCTGAGCCCTCGGCCCCGGCTTCTGCGTTTTTAGGGTTCAGGGTTTAGGGTTAGGGCTTAGGGTTTAGGGTTTAGGGTTTTAGGGTTTAGGGTTCAGGGTTTAGGGTTTAGGGTTAGTGTTTCTTGGTTTTTGGGTCGGGAAGCGATGGCCATGCCTTGTTCAGTTGACTGTCTCCACCGGCGACGTCATCTGCAACTCTGCACTTACCCAGTTCTCCATACCTAACCTGTTAGACTGTTTGGGCTGTTTTTGAGGTACTACTATTCCGACAACAGTTCACTCTTCTACTTGTGGGTATTAGCCACGCATTTGGCCTTAAACCAAGAACGCCAGAAGAACAAACTGAAGTACTAGTATGGTACTGTAGTAGCCGCAATCCTTGTAACCCTACAGAAACCCTCATCCCTAAACCTGAAATCCTACTCCTAAACCAAACCTCACACCCTCAATTCAAGACCTTGCAAAACCCTAAAAATCCCATACTGTATGCTGTAAACCCTAAACCCTGAACCTTAAACTCGCCCAAAACCCTCCCATAGACAGCAAAGACGAGGCCGGGCCCATAGAAATCCCGGAGCCTTCGCATCTCCAGCAGGTCGCTCTAAGGGACCATGTGGGGGGCTTCCTTTAAGGGATTTATTTAGGGGTTAGTACAAGGAGGGTTTAGGGCTTAGGGGTTTAGGGTTCCTGGAAGGGATCTATAAGGGTTGCTATAAGGGTTTTTTGAGTCTAGCACACCTGTGTGCGAAGTGACAACTCATTGCTTTCATCAATCACCGATCGGATTATCAGTGGATCTACAGTA